CGTTCACCTGTGGGGGGAGACGATAGGAGGTTGCGGGAGTTCTTCGTTCCTGAGAGCCTCCATTTCTCTGTGCAATAAAAGCCAAGATGCCATTTGCTGGAGGGAGAGGGGATTTCCTGGGATGAGGAGTCTTGAAAAAAATGGTAAGATTGGAAGTAGAAAAGAGAGCAGACTAGGACACTGGAAGGATGGCTCAGTGGCATGGTGAGTCAATCATGCATTTATGGAGATGTCAATTCATAGGGTGGAGGCTCTTCCTCTCCAGAGGTAGAACACAGGAGATTGATGAGTTAATCCAAGAATATTGGCTCACAGGGCGCTCAGGAAATAGCAGAGAGAACAAACACATGCAGGTGTTCCCTAGTGAGGTGTTGAAATGGACACATCATAGGGTCTTGGTAGGATAGAAAAAAAATAAAGTCAAGTGATTAAAAAGGGGCCGGGGACAAGGAATTAAATTCTTAACATGAGAATTTAAGACTCAATTTTTTTTTGGAGTCAGAGTCTCACTCTGTTGCCCAGGCTGGAGTGCATTGACACACTCCCAACCACTGCAGCCTCAACCTGCTGGGCTCAGGAGATCCATCCGCCTCAGCCTTCCAAGAAGTTGGAACTACAGGCACACGCCACCACGCCCATCTAATTTTTAAATTTTTTATACAGATGAGGTCTCAGCAAGTTGCCCAGGCTGGTCTTGAACCCATGGGCTCAGGCAATCCTCTAACCTTGGCCTCCCAAAGTGCTGGAATTATAAGGGCGGGCCACGGCACCCAGCCCAAGACTATTAGTCTTAAGCAGACAAACCAGGTTTGGGGACATAGATCAAAAGATAGAATCTAGTGACCAAAGATTGATACATTAAAGTTAAAACTTGGGAGGCAGAAGAGTTCTGGGTGCTCGCAAAACTCCTTGCAAAACTCCTTGACGGAATATTTGCTTTTTCCTGCCGTCCATTCTCTTCTTCTCGCTCCATCATTTTTTCTTATTTCTCTTCTGAAACAAAGTTCTCCTTGAAGAGCTTTAATTGGGAGAGTGACATGATCTAATGTAAAATGTTCAGAGCTGCATGAGGGCTAGAAATAAAGTTCATAGCGGCACGGTTTGTCATAGTACAACACTGAAGGATGATTAAATATTCATCAGCAGTGGCATATATACTATGATGTTATTCATTTAAAGACCAAAAATAGGCCAGGTGTAGTGGTTCATAACCTATAATCCCAGAAGTTTGGGAGGCCAAGGCAGAAAGATCGCTTGAACCCAGGAATTCAAGACCAGCTATGAGCAACTAGCAAGACCTCATCTCTATATAAAAAAAAAAAAAAATGAAAAACTTAGCCAGTCATAGTGGCACATACCTGTAGTCCCAGCTACTCAGGAGGCTGATGTGGGAGGATCACCTGAGCCCAGAAGTTCATGGCTTATAGTGAGCTGTGGTCGTGCCACTGAGATCCCAACTCAAAAATGCTAAATAACAATAAAGTCCAAAAACAGTTAAAATCAAACTGCATTACTTAGAGAGGGATACTCGGTGATTAAACTTTGGAAACAAGAAAATGGTTGTCAGAAAAGTAAGGATGGTGTCTTCTGAGAGAATGGAAATTGTCTTCATTAGAGAGAGACTGTGGCAGGCATAGGAGCTGGCAGTGTTCTCGATCTCGACTGAGTGGTGGTTATATGGGTATCTCCTTTGTAGTTATTCCTCAAATTCTGCACATATGGTTTTGCATGTGTGGTGGCTTACACCTGTAATTCCAGCACTATGGGATGCCAGCACTATGGGATCGTTTGAGGCCAGTTTGAGACTAGCCTGGGTAGCACAGCAAGATCCCTTCTCTACTAAAAGCAAATTAAAATTAGCCAGGAATGGTGGTGCACACTTGTAATCCCAGGTACTCAGGAGGCTGAGGCAGGAGAATCACTTGAGCCCAGGAGCTTGAGGTTACAGTGAGCTATGATTGTGACTGCATTCCAGCCTGGGTGACAGAGCAAGACTGCATCTCTATAAATAAAAATAAATAGGTAGATGATAGATAGATAAAACATGCATGCCGTGCATGGAATGGTACACATCATATTTAGGAGGGGAGCAAGATTAGAGAGTTATGTGTCTGTAATATTATGCTTCATGAGTTGGGAGGTGAGTATAGTACATGGGTTTTCGTTTATTATTATCTATAGTTGTTTTTATGTCTAAAATATTTAAATAAAAATTAAAACAAAAAGAAGGTACTGTGGGAAAGAGGATGGATGCTTTTGTTCCTGTTTTTATTTCCTTTATTGCTGTTAAAATATTTATTCAATCAATTAAAATTAGGAGAGAAAATTCAGGAGCTGAATCAGCCCTTTGAAGCTCTATCAGCCTTCAAAAGCTCTTTTCTTTGGGGAGTCATGGCAGAAAACTGAATCGAATTGAGTTTACTAATTGTGGGGCTTGATGCCGGTAGAATTGTTTGTTTGGCTGACTCTTGGAGAAAGTAAATCCCAGGGCCATACTGCCTGTGATCTCAGAAGAGCCCAGACCTCTAAATGGTCGTGGACCAATCCCTTCCTCAAAGTTTTCCTGACCCTTCCTTCCCTGCATCCCTCCTGTGAGCTGGCCTGGAAGTCATTCCACTGGGGGAGGAGGATAGATGCTGCCAACTGCCCTGTCTTCCCCCAGAAAGCTTGTTCCAACCCCTTTCTACTCACTCAGCAAGCCCTTGTTGCAGGTTGCTGATCTTGGATTTCCCCTAAGCATGCAAATCAAACCAAATGGGAAACTACAGTCCTAAAGAAAATCCTCAGCAGAAACGGAAGATGCAAACTCCAACCCATTCAGCAACGGTAAACTGATCACATGTGGATTTCCCTCCTCCTCCTACCTCCTGACGCTCTGGGGCTCCCTTCTCATTTTCTGTAATCTTTATGCAGTATAACCTTGCTTTACCATCTCTCCCTGAGAGCCCCTTAGTTCTGTGATGTTTGCGTATGGATTCCTAGGGGTGGAGAGGCCATCTGGCAGTGTGAATACATGACATAAGCTGGTCCAAGAAACTCCTTGTTGACTTTCTTAATGAACCAGCCCTGGGTCTGCTCAGACTGCTTGTTATATGACAAAAAATTCCCTTATTTTGAGATCCACTCAAACAAACCGATAAATACATACAATTCCCTTATCATTTGAACTACCTTTGGGTGTGGTTTGGGTGGCAGTGGAAACATCCTACTTGTCATAAGGATAGAAAGAGTAAATTATGTCATGGGCATTTTGAACAAGGCCGGAGCCTGTAGTGATATACAAGAGGAAGCCTCAGGGGCCTTCTCAGGGCGGGGCTCCTCGCAGTGGGGTTCACGGACCTGCAGCACTGAATGACCCTGGAGTTTGTTCGGACGGTCAGTTGCAAAGGGCTTCATTCCAGACCGATCAAACCAGGATCTCTGGGGGTGGGGCTCGGACTCGGACTGTTTTAACACCCCCATTCCCACCCACGTGATTCGGATGCAATTAAAGCTGGAGAAAGCGCTGGCCTAGGGGACGCCTACCGCGGGGGGTGCGATGATCCATCTAGAGGAAGTGCCAGGCCACTAGCTCATCTCTGACCTCCCGGAGGCTGCCGAGGCCGGGACTCAGTTTCCTCTTCCGTCCCAAGAATGCGAGGGAATCCGACGAGGAACCGGGTGCTAAACGCCTCGGTCCCTAGGGGAGTCGCCGAGCGGACCCAGCCCGACAGCTCCTTCCCCCAGAAGGCGACGCCGCATCGCACCACGCAGACGTGTCGAGTCGGGCTGGACTCCGCCTCCCCGCCTGCGAGCTGCTTCGGGAAGGACCCGTCACAGGGGGGGACCCCGCCGCGGTGGGGGGGGTCCCTGTCATTACGGAGCTCCACCGCTCCTTTTGGAGCTTTCTTTTCCGAATCAACAGGGCCGGACTGGAAGCCCAGGCGGCGCCCTTGTGGCCGGGGAGGGCGGCCGCGGCGCTGTCGCCTCCGCTCCAGCCCCCGATCGGCAACCCTCCTCTCCCACATCGTCCGGGAAGGGCGGCCCAGGCCCTCCACGGAGGGGACACGGGGCCCGCTGCCCTGGCGAGAGACACACGAGTGAGTGGCGACCCCGCGTCTGGAGCCGCAAGGCGCCGGCCGACCCGGGCGTGGAGGCCCCGTTATGAGGAGGTGGCGGCGCGCCCCGCCCTGTCTACCCGGGCGGGCGTCGCGATTGGAGGGGGCGCGCCCGCTGAGCAGCGGACCAATCAGAGCAGGGCAGGCCGGCAGGCCCGGCTCCCAGTGGCCCCTCCGGCGCAGGGCGAACGCGCCGCCTGCTCTGCGATTGGGCGAGCTGCCCGCCCATCAGGGCGGAACCCGCGGGGGCTCGGCCAATAGCGGGAGGCGGCCGGGTCAGGCCCCCGGCCCGGCGGTCTG